GTTAGGTAACATTCTTCTGTGTCCCTAAAGCATGCTACCTCTGTGCCTTCCACTGGGAACTCTGGAGAGGACGAGAGGGTGCTGTGTATCTGAACTACAGACCACATTTTCTCAGCTTGGCTGGCTAACTTCAGAACCATGCTTCTGTATTTTTATCAAGGTAGCTCCTCTCACAGTAACACATGCATGTGTACAGGCATGCTCAGTTGTGTCCGACTCTTCACGACCCCATGGACTGTAGCCTGCCAAGCTCCTCTGTCCATGGGATGCTCCAGGCAAGAGTACTGGAGTGGGTTGCCATGCCTTCCTCCAGGGGATCTTCCCGACCCAGGGATCAAACCTGCATCTCCTAAACTTCAGGCTGGTTCTTTACCACTGAGCCACCGGGGAAGCCCTCGCAGTAACACATTAATTAGTAAAGAAGAGCCTGTGGTAAAAAGCAAGTGTCTGCCACCCACCTGCTGCTCCCTCTCAGTAGTATGAAGGCAATTTCTTGGTTTGTTTCCGATTGTCTTTCTTCTAATTGTAATTTCTCAGAAAAGGGTGTTAAGAAGTAAATGTTTTGAATTCTTGTCAGTCTAAATATGTCTTTATTCTGCTCTTGGAATGACAGTTTAGTTGTGTATAGAATTGTCGACTACTTTTCCTTAGAAAGTTGAAGTGTCTAATGTTCTATTATTCATTTTATTGTAGGTGAATTTCTTCTGTCTGTCTGAAAGCTTTTAGTGTTTTTTTTCCCCTTGATATTTCAGAATCCTCTGTGATGTCTCTATGTGTGAGTTCTTTTTCATTAAGTGTGTTGGGTAGTTTGTTATCCTTTCAGTCTAATGGTTCATGTGTTTCTCAGCTATGACTGTTTCTTTGATTTCTACCTCCCCATTTTATTTAATCTCTTTTTCTTTGATTTCTCCTTACTCAAGTGTTTAGTCTCTTATGTTGGCCCTTTATGTCTCTCATATTTCTCGAATATCAATATTTTTCTGTATTCTTATCTTTTTGCTATGCCTTCTGGTAGACTTCCTTTCCCAATTTCTTTAATGTTTTTAAAAATCACATTTTTAATAACTTTAAATACATAACAACCCTTCTGTACTCTTTTTCTTCCTGCCATGTTTGCCTGTTATAGGGCTTTACATAATTACTGTATTTCCTCTTCTTTAGCTTCAGTTGTTTTATTTTCTCTAGCATCAACTTTTCTTTTTACTGTCACTCTGAATTTTCCTCATGGGCCTGATGACTTGATTATTTATCCCTAAAATAGAAGGCCTGGGTAGCCATGTGTGTGTCCTCTGCTGAGTAATTAGAACTGTGTTGGAGCAGGCTCTTTCTCCTTAGTAGATATTCTAACTGGGAACTTTGTATAGAGTAGGGCAGGTCTGGGTGGACTTGCTGGTGGCCTTTACATTATGGGGACAGATTTCCAAGTTCCCAGAATGAGAAAGGTTTTAATCTGTGGTGCTAATAGCCGCACTAGAAACTTTAGCTTTTCGAATTTATAAGTTTGTTCAATTAAGTGTATTTGCTGGGGTTTGGGGGGGGGGGAGATGTTGTTTACTGTATACTTCTTTTAGAAAGAACTCCTAGGGGGTTGTATTTTGCTTTTGTCTGGGAAATTCTGGCAGCCTATACAGTAGTCCCCCCTTATGTGTTGAGATATGTTCAAAGATCCCCAGTAGATGCCTAAAACGATAGATAATGGCATACTGTAGATAGATGATATTTTTTCTTATGTATACATACCTGTGGTAAAAAGTTTAATTTATAAATTAGGCTAGGCACAGGAAAAGATTAACAAGCCAAACTAATAATAAAATAGAAAAATTATAACATACACTATAATAAACGTTATATAAATGTAGTCTCTCTCACACAGTATCTTACTGTACAGATTCAGTGCCTTTACCATCTTAGCTAAACACTTATTGCTTCGGCTGAAACATTTGCAGTCCAGGGTGTGACAACGAAACGATGACAAATTTCATTTTCCTTCTTCATGGTTTCACAGAAGATTCAATCTTACCATAGATCTTAGCATCCTCAGCATATGGTTTCTTTTCTTTCATTATTAAGTTGTGAACGTCCACCTTTTCACTCAAAGGAAATACCGTACAGCTTCTCTTTGGCAGATCCAAATTGCCAGCATCACTTCTCTTGCATTTGGGGGCTGTTATAAAGGAAAATCAGGATTACTTAAACACAGGCACAGAGATACCACAACAGTTGATCTGATAACTGAAGTGGTACTAAGCGACTAGCAGGCAGGACCACAGGGATGGTGCCAGACAGCTGAGATTTCAGCATGCTACTCAGAGCAACACTCGACTTAAAACTTATGACTTGTTTATTTCCAGAGTTTTCTATTTACTATTCTCGGAGTGAGGTTGACTGTGGGTAACTGAAACCGCAGGTGAGGGTGGGGGGAGGCTATGGTGCTGTAACTGCTGATGAGGAACAGTAGCTAGGACAGGTATCTCGTTCCATGTGCAGACCTTCAGTTCATCCGTCCTTTCTCAGCCCCGTGTCTCGTTCCTGTTTTTCTGCAGTACCTGTTGCTTCTCAGCAGTCACGTCTTACCAGACAGCTTCCACATCCTTTGTGATTCTCTTTGTATCTTTCCATCATCCTGCTCCCATCTGCTCTCTGTCATCTAGTACAGACAGGGATTGGGAAACTGTAGCCTGCAGGCCAAATCAGTCTGACTACCTGTTTTTGTAAATAAAGTTTTATTGGAATACACTTATGCTCATTTGTTCACGTGTCGTCCATGGCTGCTTCTGTGCTGTGATGGGAGAGTTGAATAGCTGAAACCAAGACTGGCAGAGCTGAGTATCTGCCCCAGAGACTGAATGACGTACAGAGCCTAAGCTGTCTAGCCTCTGGTCCTCTCCAGGAAAGGTTTGCCAACCCCTGCTCTAGGAATGTTTTGGGATTTGTCGTTTTCTGGTGAGCATACCTGCCTGCCTTTACTTTCTCAGCCACTTCTCTTCATACATATTTTAAGTGATTGTAAAATTCTTTTTTAGTTCAGTAATACTGAGGGAGTGCGTAAGTTCCCTCAGGCCTCCAAAGGCCTACTCGAACTGGCCCTCTAGAACTGGAAAGACAGATTTCTTACTCTTCTCTGTGTTGATATACTGGCAGCCTGCTTATCAGTGGCTGCCTTCCATGTCGGACCCTGTGAAGTCATGGAAGGGGCTCTGTGAGAGAACAGGGACTCTGTATAGTTCCTTGTGTCTTAAAGACCGTGAGCATAGTAAGCTTTCAAAAAGCGTTTGTTGAATGTAATGAATGAATGAATGATTATGTTTCCTTTTTTTCCAGACCAATTTGGATCACCTCTTATTTTTTTTTCTTCTGAATGCACATTTAAAATAGCTTTTACCTATTAATTCATTTTTATATCCTTTCTTAAGATGACTCATATGAAGAATGGTTAATCTTATTAGGAATGGAGAGGAGCTTTGTATTCCAGATATGTGTCAGTACAGATGTTGTCTATTATTCACCTTTTAGAAATGTTCTTTTACAGACTAATCTACTTTTTCATTTTTTTTCTTTACAGTACCATATTATTTAATGGGTAAATAGTTGCAGTTTAAATAGCAATGTGTTTACAGTCAACGAAATATCTTCATAATGATCCAGAATGTTCTATGAGTATATTTTCATAAAAAAAATCTTGATTATATGAAATGATTACAAAAAATAATTCTGAAACAAAAGACTTGTAAATCTTTTGTTTACAAAGATCTAAAAAACTCTAAAAAACTAAAATCTAAAAAACTCTAAATCTAGGAGTTAGAATCTAAATTGATGTTTTTTTTTCTCTTTGATATGTGTGTGCGCTTGTCTTTCTGACCATCCGTTATTTAAACTAATTTCTTGTGTAAATTAAGACAGATATACTGAGTTCTTATATAATACAGAAATGATGTAGATAGTTCCATTAGAGTAAATTTGTCATTTTTTTCCTACTGCAGTTAATCTGTTTTCTCTTGAATTCTGGTGTCCTCACTGGTACCAGTTTAAAATGCATAGCAGTTCCATAAAGTAGAGATGGCTCCTGAATGCTCATTTGGAAAAAGCAAATAGCCTGTTTTGACAACTTCTGCAGAAGAGCATTTTTTATAGATCTGCTTCTTTCCCTGTTATTTCCTTTAAAAAAGAAACACAATTCAGTACTCATTATTGTGTGTTATTTGATTCAGCCCATCTCCCATGCACCTTTCAAACACATGAACAAGTTTATAAATGCAGAAATTTTGGGTTTTAAATGTTTTTATGTAACTGTATCATATGTGTAGAGGAAAAAGAAAGGAACACTGGCATCTCCCAAAGGAAGGAATGAGGAGGATGTGTTCTTGGCACTTTGAGACCGTTGAGCTCTGATGTGGTGATAAAGAAATGTTCTTGGCCTCCAACAGCAGATTTCACAGGGCTAGGATCCAGGGTAACAGGGAGTGTCTTCCACATTTTATTCTTGTTTGTTTGTTTGTGTTTTACTTTTGCTACATGTGTATAATGAATGTGCTTATGAAAAGAACCCCACTTTTTCTCAGAATATATTGTCTTTTGTCTTATTACACCTAAGCATTTTTGAAGAAATTGTTCTAAATGGAATCTCCAAGAGATGAGGAGCTGTGTTGGGTATGTGTACAGTACACATAGAAGAGTTCAGGAGTTCCATAAATATAAGGCAAACAGCAAAATAGAATGAAGTGAGAAGTCTTTATAGGGATTTTTTTTCCTTTTTCAATCAGTGCCATCCTGTAGTACTTTCCAAGATGGTATAACTGTTCTATATCAGCGCTGTCCAGTGTACTGGTCACTAGCTACAAATAAGTGAGCTACAAATCACTGTTGAGTACTTGAGGCATGGCCGATATGACTAAGGAATGTAATATTTCATTTAAAATGTTTTGGTAAAGTATTTTTATGTTTTCTTAATTAGAGACTAACAGATTTTAATTTTGTGCTGTTTAATTTTTTTTTCTTTTCAGGTAAATATATGCAGATGATGAACATTCTTAAGCCAATTGCTTTTGATGTTATCCATTTCATGTCTCAGCTCTTTGATTATTACTTGTATGCAATATATACCTTTTTTGGTCGGAATGATTCGGTAAGTTAGTCTTTTGGAGGAGGACTCTGTTTCTTTTAAAATTTGTTTTTGTAAATGTAAAGTTCATTCTCTCTGTATAAAATACACAAATAACATTATTTTGAAAATTACCCATCCAGAATGCGACAGAATTATTGATACCAGCTTTTTGTATGCCCAGTTGCCTTGTTTAAAATATTAATTTTAAGCTTTGATATAATAGACATATTGTATATTATTCACATTTTTGGCAGAAAAAGTGCAGCATCTCTTTCTAACTTGGATGTATTTTGGCAGTGAAAATGTGCGTGTTGCTTTGTTTAAATCTGTCTTGGTGTATATTTATTAACAATAAAATAAATATTGGCTAACAACCATAGCAGGCACTGTACCTTCAGAAGATAATGGCAAATATTTTTTTAAATAATATGAAAATCTTTGAACTGAACCATCTGCCTGCAATAGAATTAATATTTCCTGTATCTCCTTTATGTGCTTACAAAGATCTTTTTGAGTTTTATCTTTTCCTACTCCTAAGGAGAACAGCACAGTATTAAGCAGGTAACTGATGTGATATTTGGGAATTCCTAGATTTTTGACAGACTTTTTTTTTTTTAATAAAAGCATAGCATTGGATTTTATGAACATATCCTAATACTAATTTTTCACATACAATATTTTGTACCTTTTCAAAAACTTGTGAGTTTTAATGGATGACTATATTTGTCATACAAAATGCTCATATTCTCACTGTGATCACAAGTATATCAAAGACATGATCTTTTAATATAGGATCTGAATTCGCTGTGTTCTTTACTCTGCAAAATTAGAATACTAACATAATCAGAGACTTAAGTTGTGGAATTCATGTCGCTATAAAATAGGTACTAATTCATTATACAATGCTCAATAAATATTAAAGAAGAAAGCCATTCTGGAGTTTTAGCTAATTGTTAGCATCTTTTAGTCTTTTAAATGAGCTTTACTCTATCTTTTTTTAGACTGTGCCTCTAGAGCAGTGCTGTCCAAGAGAAGTTTTGCAATAATGGAAATGTTCTATATTTGTACTGCCCAATATGGTAACCACAAGCCACAGTGTCTTTTGAGCACTTAAACGTGACTGGTATGACTGGGGATTGGATTTTTCATTGTACTTGATTTTAGCTGGTTTATATTTAAATTAGCCACATGTGACTTGTGAGTATCATATTGGTTAAAACAGTTCTGTTCAGGCTTGAACATTTGTCAGGATAGACCATACTTCTGGGCCATGAAACATGTTCCAATGGGTTTAAAAACCTTAGAAATCATATAGGATATATTTTCTGATGTCAATATAATTAAATTAGAAATAACAATAAAATGGGAAAATGAAATATTTCAAAATTAACACACATCTAAATAAAGATTGGGTTAAATAAGAAACCACTAGAGAAATTAGAAAATATTTCAAAGTGAATGATAATGAAAACACAGCGTACCAAAATTTGTGGAGTGGAGTTAAATCAGCACTTAAAGAGAAGGATCTGGTATTCAGCTTTACCTCTTCTTTTCCAGTCTGTTTGCCTTGTATTTTTTAGTCTGTAGGCCTCATATAGCATATATATCTGTATGCTGGAGAAAAGTTACAAAAACTTGACCTCCAGCACAACATAAAATAAAAGTGGTGAGAGTTGACATCCTTGTCCTGTTCCCTCCTCCTTCATCTCTCCAGGATGGAAAGCGTTGAGCCTTTCACCATTGAGTATGATGCTAGCTATTTTATAGAGTCCTATGACCATGTTGACAAAATTCTCTTCTGTTACTGGTTTTCTGAATTGTTATTATGAAAGGATAAATTCAGTCATGAAAGAATAAATTCATGTTATCATGGAAGGATAAAGTTTCTGAATCTATTTAAGCAATCATAACTTTCCTAAAGCAATATATTAATACGATGAATTGTGTTGGTTAATTTCAAAGTAGTATTTTAGGCTATTAAACCAACCTTGTATTCCCAAGACAAACACCACTTGGTTATGAAGGAATTTGGTAATATTTTCTAGTTGTTGTTGTTTGTCACTAGGTCATGTCCAGCTCTTTGCAGTTTCATGGACTGTAGTATGCCAGGCTTCCCTGTCCTTTACTGTCTTCTGGAATTTGCTCACACTCATGTCCATTGAGTTGCTGATTCCATCCATCCATCTCATCCTCTGTCGTCCCCTTCTCTTTCCTCAGTATTTTCTTAAGAATTAAAAAAAAAAAAATGTGTCCGTAAAGTTTATGAGTCTGTAGTTAGGTTTTCTGTGATATCTTTGGCTTAGAAGTCAGTGTAATATAAATAAAACAATTGGGAAACATTTTTAAAAATATTTTTTTATATCTTTTTTATATTTTCTGAGAGTCTGTGTAGGGTTAGTACTTTTTGAAAGTTTTTATTAAATTTAACAATAACTGCTAAATATTCTATTTCATCTAAGGTCAATTTTTATGAGTTTGTCAAGGAATTTGTCCATCTTATCTGGTTTGGTAAATTTATTGGCATAAAATTATTCATAAAATTCTCTTATTATCCTTTTAATGTTGAAGAATCTGTAGTGTTACTATACTCTCATTCTTGATACTGAAAGTATGTATCATCTCTGTTTTGTTTTTCTGTGTCATTGTGGCCTTTCCCATCCTTGGGTTCTTCAAGTATATGAGAATCTTTAGGTTTTGCAGTTGAAAGTAGTAATCTGTGGGAAGGAAATTCTGGTGAATTCTCTTCCGATAAATTCATTTGATTGATGTTAGTGTGACATATGTGTCAGTAGCTTTCTTGTTCCCTTGAGGGTGAAGATTTGACTTCTTTCCTTGATACTTTGGTAATAATTTGGTGTTTGGAAACCCTCTGAATGCTGAGAATTTGAATAAAAACTCATCAGATAACTTTTCACTACTTTGAAGTTAAAACATTTGCAGGGTTCTCTCCAAAGTGATTTAACATGCTTTCCGTTGTCTTTTTCAGTTGGAATCAACAGGACTAGGTCTTAGCAGTAGTAGACTAAGAACAACTCTAAACAGGATACAAGAAAGCCTCATTGATCTGGTGAGTAATCAGTTGGAATCCATGCTTTGGGATTATTTAAGATAGAAATTGGCCATCTAATCAACTACATGTAAATGTATTTCTATATATACATTAATCTCCTGTGTTCCTAGTCCACTAATTGCCTGTAGGAAGTGAGATGGAGGTTTCTTACAGCCAGATGGAGAGAGACAGCTAGTATACCCAAAAGAATATGATACTGGTTCTGCGTGCAGTGCAAGTTCAAAGAGAAGAAAGGTTTATCTTCACATTTAATGTCTGAGAATGACTAGAGGAGGATGCTAGACTTTAAAGAGCAGGCATGGGATTAGTGAGGAAAAGGAGAAAGAATGGTATTCAAATTAAGGTTCTGAGGCTGAGCAAGGGCTTGGAGGTGGGAACAAGCCCAGCCTAAACTGACAGGTTTTTGTGATGGGGCATCTGTTTATGCCAGAGAGTTGTGCTGCAAAGATTGTTTAAGGACCGCTTTGTAAATGTCTTTAACATTTGAGACGTTTGAGTTTAATTGGCTCTATAGTAAGGAGTCTTGATTCTTAACTGTCATGTGATGAAATGCATGTTTTAAAATGCTGTGTTAGCAAAACTGGGACTAATCTACTATAGTATTTAAGCCAACATAAGCATTTAATATAAGAAAAAAAATTTTTCTTATGCTTGGTCACTGTAGCCAGAGACATGTGTTCTTCAGTGCTTTTCTCTGCATCCATGAATTTTCCTTTATTCCTTCACTTACCCAAATAAGTGATCACTTTTACATAAGCTCTATATTACGAGCATACTTCTTATTGAAGTTTTTGTAATCATTCATTCTTTTAAACAGTACTTATTTGGAATAATTATTATATGTCATGCATTACTGTAATAGTGGAAAAGTCATCAGTACACAGAGGTAATTCTCATCTTCTTGAAACTTGGCATTTTATTGGGGAAGTGAGACAGATAAATATGTAAGAGTGGCAGGTCCTGGTAAGTGCCAAGTAGAAAATGAAGCAGGGTGATGGGACAGTGCTCTTCAGACAGAGATATGAATAAAGTGAGAGAGCCATGTGTAGATATTTCGTGTGAGCACTGTTTATGCAGAGGAAATAACCTGTATCTGTCTCATCTGGTCCCCTTTAAATTTGGAGATCTTTTTGCCCAGCACTTATTTTTAAAATATACATTCATATTCATAGCACTTACTTTAGTACACAGCATCTCTTCAATATATGTATATAAAGTAAATGAATAAACTTGACTCCTTGAGTTTGGTGTCACCTGGATTAACCTGACTTGTTTTCTTGGTCTTGTTGCCCACTTAATCCTGATCTTCATTTGCAGAGTCAAAGCTTGTTTGACACAGTCATCAATTTTTTTTCTATATCTTTTTTTTTGGTTTTGTGTAAAATCCATCATTGACTTTCAGCCCTATTGGCATTTATCTGTTTCGATTTTGCTTCTCCTCGTTTGACACCAAGTATGACCTTGACCTGAAGATCTTGTTTTCCAGATCTTAGCCCACAGCTGAATTTTTTCTTGTCTCTGGCTGAATGCCTGATGAGAGATGGGCCAAAATACACCACTAGAGTCATTCACGCTGATGTTTCTCTGGTAGCTTTGCTAGCTACTAGCTTATGATTGTCAAGCCACAGTTCCAGATCTGACCCTTGAGGTGTGGATTTAATACAGTGTATAATGAAAGAGCATGATCCGGTACATAGTGACCGAACTAGCTGTTCCTTAAGACAAGCTGTCACCCATCTACTAATAACAATGCTTCTGTAGCATCTGTCAGACCAGCTCTTGATGCATTGGAGACCTTTTGTCCTGGTGGTTTGTGGTTTAGTCGCAAAGTCATGTCCGACTCTTACGATCCCATGGAGTGTAGCCTGTCAGGCTCCTCTGTCCATGGGATTCTCCAGGCAAGGATACTGGAGTGGGTTGCCATTTCTTACTCCAGGGAATCTTCCCGACCCAGGAATCGAACCCGGGTCTCCTGCATTGCAGGCAGATGATTTACCAACTGAGCTATGAGGGAAGCCCCTAAATTGGTATAATAGTCAATTTTATAAATGCATTTTTTTTTAAACTGGAGACAAACCCCTCCCTAATAAATAGATTTTTCCTTTGGTACCTTGTCTTTTAAAGATATTTATTTGTTTACTTTTGGCTGCACTCCAGGTCTTTATTGCTGTGCACGGGCTTCTCTAGTTGCGGCCCATCGGGGCTGCTCTTCGCTGTGGTGTGCGGGCTTCTCGCTGCGATGCCTTCTCTTGTCACAGAGCACAGGCTCTAGGCTCACGGGCTTCTGTAGTTGGGGCACGTGGGCTCAGTAGTCGTGGAATGTGGAATTTTCCCAGACCAGGGGTCAAACCCGTGTCCCCCTGCATTGGCAGTTGGACTCTCAGCCACTGGGAAAGTTCCTAAAGATATCTTTTTTTAAGACCTTATTCTTCCATCTCTTAAATCAAAAACTGCACCTTGGACCAGAAGCCTGTGCAGGCTGTCATTCCCCTTCAGTCTGTAAGGAGCACTGACCTTTGACAGAGCCTCTCCGGAGTCCTGACTCCTCTGATGGATAAGACTCTGCAGCAGTACACCAGAAGTTTTTCTGAAAATTCCCAGTAGTTTCCAGCGGTTTGCATGTTAAATTGTTACTCATGCTGATAAGCATTGTTTTATTATTTTAAAAAATATATTTGTTGTTTACTAGACCTTGATCTCGGGTTTCCATAAGCTGGTATATAAATCATCTTCATTAATTTGCATCTACACTGGCAGAGAACATTAATTGGTTTCTTGCTATTCAATATATTTCTTGTCTGTTAAAACAAATTATAGCCTCATCAATCTGAAACCACTAGATGGAAGTAGTATTTTTTCTTCATGTTTCTCCTGTGTGTTCCTTAAAACTTTAATAAGCACTTTTGGGATAATTTTCTCCATATATATTTTTTAAGTTTTGCTTGTCTTTAAGCTGTAAAAGGCAGAATCAAATCATCGTGTTCTTTAAAACGCCACCTGAAACTGTTTATCATGTAAATTCACTGTAAACTAAAAAAATTTGTTTGACACATGAAATAAAAGTCTAAAAAAAATGGTCTAATAGTGAACGAGTAGGAAAGAGGGCTGGCATAGGCGGTGGTGGTACCAGAAATGCGAATTTTTAGTTATCTACTTGGTGATGCTAAATTGTTTGCTTTAAGACCTTTGGCCAACTTTGAATCTTTGATAAGAAAAGTTGTATTCTAAATTGATGCAGAGAAGTCCATAAATATGATTTTTTTGTGTTAGTACATTAGTGGCAGAAAAAGCTATAAATGTAACTTTCACTGTGAGAATAAAGATGAAGGTTTCATTTCTTAAAGTCTTCAAAGGGCTGTATATCCTTTGCTTACTCTCCTGGTTTAAGCTGAAACATGGGTCCTGTTTAGAAGCTTTTCCATTTAAGTGCGCAGTAAGTACATACCATTTGCTTATGTCATGTTGACATCTTGGTGACTTTCTTGCTCTTCTTGAGCATGTTTCCCCAAGTGGGTCTGTTTTGAAGGTAGACCCATCAAGACTCGTTGATGGATTACAAGAGGAGTTTGACACTGAGAAGCGTCAAGGGTGGCAGCTGACTTCTGGGGCCTGTGCCATTAGTGGGGTGGCTAAGGCTAAAGGAGCCGCATGTTTTAGGAGGACATCAGGGGTTCAGTTTCAGATATGTTAAACCAGCTAAAGATGAGAGACTGGTCAGGGCTTAAATTTTGAGCTGCTGGCATGTGGATGGCATTTAACTCTGTTAGACTGGATGAAATTGTGTAGGGAGTAGAATGTCAGTAAGAGAAGTGTCAGGAATAAAGGCGGGAACACTGCTGGGTTCAGAGGTCGGGAGGAATATTCAGAGATGGATATTCAGAGTTGACTGTTGGACTTGGCCCTAAGGAGGCCAGTGGGTACTTGGCTAACTCTTTCTTTGGAGTGAAGCAGACAAACGCCCGATGGGAATGAATGGGCTTGAAAGAGAACAATAGAGTAAGAGAAGATTCTTACTATCCTCTCCATCAGTTAAACTGAGGAGGGTCTCCTCATGCCAAGAGGCATGCCACGAACTTAAGGTACAAAGAGGGCAAAATTGGTCCCTCCCTCGGGAACTCACGACGCCGTAAGGGGGAGCAACCACGGATACACTGTGCTGTATGCCACATGCAGGTACACAGATAGATAGTGGTAACACACGCAAATTTCTTGGGAGAGTGAGAAATTTACAGGAAAGAGGTGAATATGAGTTCACACTTAAAAAGTGAAGTAAGAGCTAAGAAGACAAGGAGAAAAGAGCTCCAAGACAGGAGCGTCAGTACGACCAGTGTAACAAGCAGTCCGGTGTGACTAGATCTCAGGGTGCAGAGATCATCTGGAAACAAGACTGGCAAGGTGGTAAAGGAGTGATGTCGTGGCAGCAAGTTTAGGCTTTTCCTCCACAAGGAAGGGATTATCAGTTGCGATTTTTAAATTATGGACTGGTGTGATCACATGTCCGTTTTAGAAAAATCACCTAGGTATTATTGAAAAATAAAACAGTGTGGAAAGTGGGGTAGAAACAGGAGGAGCTAGAGGGACTATTAGGGGACTTTTAGAATGGGTCCGGTCAGGAATGTTGTGGGGCCTTGGTCCTGATGAGGTAATGACATGAGGCAGAAACAGACAAGGGAGTTGTCTGTTTAGGCATGATGGAGGTGAGAAGGAAGGGGGGTCAAGAGTGATTCTAAGGTTTTTTTACTTGGACAGTCCAGTAGGTGGTGATTAAATAGCCACCAGAATTAAATTATTAAATATAATAGCCCAGGCAACCAATTGGTACAAAACAGTATGAAAATTTGTGATTGTTTGTTTTTTTTGACAGTAGTGGGGTAATTTTTTTACTTTTTAGTAGAAAGAAATAAATAATGGAGCCATGACAGTGATTAACTTGCATAGTTCCCTTATCTTGATCGTCCTGAGAGAAAACACAGTTGTTCACAAAATGATGGCTTTTAAATGCTAATTGAGTAATTAGAGATTGAAGAGAGACAGTACCTTTAGTAGAAGACAGGCTATTAAAAAAAAACTAAAGAATAAAACCATTTTCTAACTTGAAAGGTTTTATAATGTATTATCTCCATTTTCCTAAATTTATAAAACTATTATGCTCCCAGAGTTCTATGCATTTGATGTCTCTTTTTTTCTATAAGGCAAATGTTAAGATATTTGTGATTATAAAATTGATTTTAAAAGTAATCTAGATTTACATTTTGTACACTTCTAGCTTTGTTTATATTCAATTTTTGTGCTATAATTTTCTTCAGGGATCTTTTAAGGCTCAGCCCACTTGTCTCTTTGGACATCCCTTTCTTTTATTTCCATCTGCCATCTTCCTTCAGATCAGTAATCTGTCTGTGAAAGTGAACATGAAGTCGCTCAGTCTTGTCCGACTCTTTGCAACCCCACAGAATGTAGCCTACCAGGCTCCTCCGTCTATGGGATTTTCCGGGCAAGAGTACTGGAGTGGGTTGCCATTTCCTTCTCCAGGAGATCTTGCCAACCCAGGGACTGAACCCAGGTCTCCCGTATTGTAGGCAGATGCTTTACCATCTGAGTCACCAGGGAAATCCCAGTCTATCCGTAGATATATACAATACAGTTGATTCTATTTCAGTTTAGAATCACATTTTAGTCCTACTTTCTTGGGAATACACCAGGGTTACCTTGGTTAAAACTTCGATGTGAAAGGGTTGATCACACCACAGTTTTTTGGATTTTAACAGCTTGATCCTGGTGGGGCAGTCTCTTTTTCAACATTTACAAGTTCTTGAAAGACTTCTCACTATTGTCTCTATGAAATATTTGTCACTTCGTAAGGATTTCTTGTTTGACCACATTTAGAAAAATATTATATGGAGTTGGGTCATTTTCCTTTAGTATAAAAAGGAAAGTTCTAGTAATTAGGAACTATAAAAGGAGGAAAAAAGAACTGAAGTTAAGTGTAATTAACATATGCCTGAGAGCATTTTAATTATAGTTCCAGTTTGTAACACTGTGTCGTTTATTGCTCTGAGATTTGCTATTTCAGGCTGTGTGTGTGTATGTGTGTTGTGTTTTCAGGACGTTTCAGCTGACCCCACTGCCACGCTCACAGCAGCAGAAGAGAGAAAGGAGAAGGTACCAAGTCCTCACCTCAGTCACTTAGTGGTTCTGACATCTGGGGACACGTTGTATGGGTTGGCGGAAAGAGTGGTCGCCACAGAATCCTTGTAAGTTATTAAAAAACAGTTGCTTTGCCATTAAATATTTAAGAAAGATGATAAAAGTAAGCAATGTAGTCTGTATTACTTAAATTACTCATTAGTTCTGAGAAATATGTCCTAAGATAGAGTCCCAGTCAATTTTTAAAATTGCATGGTTGAGTTTTAGGTGTATAAATGGAAGAAGGGAAATCTTTTAAGGTTGTTCTTTGGCAGCATGATCCTTGCTTTAAGTGAGACTTCAGAAAAACATGTTACAGCATGCTGGTACTGTTTAGTCACTCAGTTGTGTCCGGACTCTGTGACCGCATGGACTGTAGCCCACCAGGCTACTCTATCCAGGGAATTCTCCAGGCAAGAATACTGGAGTGGATTGCCATTCCCTTCTCCAGGGGATCTTCCTGACCCAGCGATCGAACCTGTGTCTCATGCTTTGGCAGGCGGATTCTTTACTCTGAGCCCCCAGGGAAGCCCATGTTATAGTATAGTTCTTTATATTTTCCTATTGAATTATGATTCTAGAGAAACTGTAGTTACACTGTCAATTTAGTATTAAATATAGTCGATCCTTGACCTTTGTAAATCACCAAGTTCTTTAATAAAATTAAACGGTATAACTCTTCCATAACATATGGGCATGACTGAGCAACTGAGCATACAGTCAGACCGAATACTCTGAGTTTTTATGTATGTAACAAAAGGTAGGGAAAAATTGAATGATTGCCAAAAGTCTTCCGACTGAGTGACTCCCATTCATGCACACCAGCCTCCTGCCCTGAAGTTCATGTGTATGCCTCAGCCAAGTTCTAGTTTATTTCATGTTATGAATGTTTGGGTTATTTTTGAAAAGCACCAGGCATCAAATCTGTGAATTCATGGGTCTGTTGTGTGTAATTTACATGGGACCTTTGAAAGAAGTCCTTTCAAAAAATACCATTGTATTCTTTTTTCTATCTTTTGCGTTGTCACTGCTCATATCTTACATGCAAAGTAGCATAACTGTATGCCTTGCAGTAACCAGCTTAGCTCCCTTGAAGTCACGCTTCTTTCACATCAACTCACGTTCAGCGGTAACTCAGCATTAATTTTTGTGTGAATTGTAAATGAGTGTGTCAAGTGGCCACGCACGGTTGTTCTTTAAAATGGAAAATAACTCTGTTAAACTTTTCGTCAGAGATCTTAAAGATCAGTTACACAAAAATATTGACCGGCTCTAAACCCTGTGTCCCGTTTACATGGTGGGTTATTCATTCCCTTTAGGGTGTTCTTGGCTGAACAGTTTGAGTTCCTTCAGCCTCATCTGGACGCTGTGATGCCTGCAGTCAAAAAACCCTTTCTTCAGCAGTTTTATTCTCAGGTCAGACATGTCTGCTATCTCCTTTCAACTGTGAGCAAGATAAGACTGTCACATGTTGTTTATTTTTTTATTTTTTGCTAATGATCAGTGTCTCAACTTCAGGAGAGCTGGATTAGAGTATTTGTTTATTCATTCATGTATTCCTGTATTAACTAGAGACTTATTGACCTCCTCCTATAACGTTTAGTCTCGTGAGAGCCAGTTAAAACTGTATCACAGACTAACATATGGAAAGTAGATGGCCAGTGGGAATTTGCTGAACGACTCAGGGAACTTAGACCAGGGCTCTGTGACCCGCTGGATGGATGGGGTGGGAGGTGGGAGGGGGCATGTGTATACCTGTGGCTGATATTTGCAGATGTATGGCAGAAACCAACACAATATTGTAATTATCCTTCAATTATAAATAAAGAAGAAAACCCTATTAAAATAAACTATAGTTCTGGTAAAGAAACAGGGCAGGGTATTTAACCTTGACTAGAAACGGGGCGGGTATAATTGGCAGAGAAATACTGTCTTGAGGAAGTGATGTTTTAACTGGACCGAACAGAAAGAGATCGAGTCAGGAGTATATATATATTTTTTAATCTGTGCTTTTGATATACTTTCATTGTAGGTTTATATAATTTAATTTTTATTTTTAAAAGTTTTACAATTTGTTTTCTATTGGAGGATAATTGCTTTATAAAGTTGCATTGGTTTCTGCCATACAACAACACAAATCGCCCTCAAGGGGTATATTTCGACTGAGGCAGTGGCCTATATGAAGACCCACAGGTGGGAGAGAGGCATGGTGGAGCTGAGGAAGATCCAGATTCTTAGACGAGGGAAAAGGGGTGGTGATGAGAAAGACGGCTGGAGTGAGTAAGCTGAAGTTACGTGACATCCAGTGCTCCCAGCTGGGAGCTGGACATTGCTCCAAGGGTGCTGAGAAGCCGCTGGAGGGTTTCAGAGAGGTGATGAGTATCACAGTGAGGTGTGTGTTTTGGAAAGAGAGCTTTGGGGGTGGTGTGAAGAACGGACTTTAGATGGCAAACCTAAAGACAGGAGACCAGCTTAAAGACTTTCGGACTGCTTCAGGTAAGAGATGATCGGATCTTGACTTGCAGTGTGGGAATGGGAATGGAAATGGAGAAAAGCAAAAGAATTTGAGAAATATTTGCTCATCTCCATGAAAATCTGTAGTTTTACTGTTGTATTGTCAGTGGACTGAAGCATATTGAATGTCTCAAAATTATGTTTTGAGTAAGATCTTTGCCCACAAGTTAAAGTATTTTCATAATTTTTATCTCCAAATGTATAGTGTTTTATTTTCGGATACTATGTGTACTAGAAATGGGGGCAAAAGAGTTTTTATAAATTTGATACTTTTAGAAAAAGTTTGTTTTTCTGTGAAATTTATTTCAGACAGTCTCAACGGCCAGTGAACTACGTAAACCAATTTACTGGATTGTAGCTGGTAAAGCCATTGATTATGAACAGATGCTGCTCCTAATGGCTAATGTGAAATGGGATGTAAAAGAAATTATGTCACAGCACAACATATATGTAGATACATTGTTAAAGGCAAGTATTCTGGGAAACACCTTTGTTAAAGATGTTTATAGTATGGAACTATTCCTGTAATTGCAGTCAACCCTAAAGTTGTGAGATTATGGTTTTTACCACATTCAAGCATTCTTGTGATATTAAAGCTCCTGAGTTGGGTTTGGATTTCCTTCCAAATTCTGTGTTCTTTTAGACCCAAGAATACCTTGCAGATTTTGTCTTTGCTCACAAGTTTCCCATTTTGAGTTAGAGTTTGTTTAATGTGTCTGCCTTTCATATTACATAATCTCGATAGCCATGGCTGTAGTGACAAGAAGACATTTCTATAGGTGTATTTATATTCATTGGCAAGAGATCATACTCCTGGCTATTCTAGTTGGTTTTTCCCAGAAATCACGTTAACTTTTGCTATGTGTTATGCAAACATCATTGTGTTTAATGACTTAACATTTATAAGTTTTCTGAAAAGAAGTATAGTTGTTTTTTTTCATTTATGTATCAAGAGATATTTATAAATCATCTGACATGTGTCAAACACTGATCTAGCTGCTAGCAATATAGTTAGTTGTGAATTAAGGAGCTTAATGTGCCATCAGGGTATTTATATGCTAGAGCAGGGACAACAGTAAAGAGATACATAATATATAATGTATCAGGTGGTGAATAGTCTTGTGAAAAAATAACCAGCAGAAGAGGATAGAGAGTGGCAGAGTGTTGTGGGGGAGGAATACCATATATTTCCTTGTGGTCAAAGAAGGACTCAAAGTGATAATGAGAGGCCTGAAGGAAGTGAGGCAATGAACCATGAGCATGTCTGAGGTGAGGAAAGCAACTGAGAAAAGGAAAACAGCTTTCAGAAAAGTGTTACTCTTCATATTTGTCAGCGAAAAGAAAGTTGGCCCTTCCTGGTTCCCTATTTATCTCATTTACAAACATTCTTACCTGCTTCATCCAAGGCAGAAAATAATAGCCTGAAATACTTGAGATTCAATCAACAAACCCAGAGATCAAAGCAGAGATAGCAGCCGAATTCATCTGGGGTGCCAACTCCCAGCGTGTCTAGGACTGTTCTGGAGGGCTGGGTTGAGGACTTGGAGACTGTCCTCAGAGTCAGGGAACTAAGGGTGCCGAGATCAGTTAAAAGTGTCCAGGTGTTAGCACAAGATCTGCACGTGCTCGGTAATTGCCAACCTGGAAGGACTTTGATTTCGTGAGCACCCAGGAGACTTCAGCTGGGAATTTTAAGTTGGAATATAAAAGATACATGTAATTTATAATCACGCTTTTTTGAATGGTTCTATTTTTGAAAAGTTGATTCTGTTTTTTAAAACCTGCTAATTATAGTACTTGGGCTTCCTTAAGGTGGCTCAGTGGTAAAGAATCCACCTGTTAATGCAGGAGACTTGGGTTCCCTGAGTCAGGAAGATCCCCCAGAGGATGAAAATGGCAACCCACTCCAGTATTCTTACCTGGAGAATCCTATAGACAGAGGAGCCTAGTGGGCTATAGTCCATTGGGTTGCAAAGAGTTGGACACAACTTAGCACTAAACCACAATTACAATACTTATGGAGATGCAAGAAAAAAGACTTCTGCCCTCAGCATATATATTTATTTATTTATTTATTTATTTATTTATTTATTTATTTATTTATTTATATATAGAGAGAGACTATTTGCTTCAATTAGTCTTAATTTCAAGAAATATTATAAGAAAGAGCCAGTGTTACTGAGGTTATTAACCTGAACTCAAGTTTCAGCAGTTTAAGACTTTCTCTCATAAGGGAACTTTTATGATGAATTTTGTTCTTTTTGTTACTTTCCCAAGTCCAAACCTTTAGGTAAAAGCAGTCTGCATTTGTTGCCCCAAATGGATCATAAGTAAAATGAAATAATTTTATTATTCATTTAACAATAAGCATTCTTGAAGATTGGATTTAGCAATTAGCAGCATGGCATTTTATATAATAAGCATATAAATTTATCTTTAAAATATTAATAAAAAGTATTGTGACTTTTAAAATCTAAAGCCACTTTTACTGTAGTGAAGCATAAATCTGGTAGCAAATACTACTGGTTCTGGTAGATTCATGAAATGAAAAAAAGGGAAGAGCAATTACTTATTTACTTTGATTTTCAAAAGTAAGCTTAATGGATTGAAGATCCACTGCTTTCTCATAAATAATTAAAAGCTGTTAACTGTCAAAGAATTAATCATTAAAAAAAATGTGATCTAGGAAGTAGCTAAGGATAACACAACCATCATGTAATAGTAGCTTCACTGGTGATGATCAGATTAGATTTTTTTTCTAACCTGTGTATTATTTGAACACATTGTCAGTCTTGGCTTGTTACGTGTTACATGGCTTCTTTATTGAGGAAACTAAAGAAAAAAATACTGTTTTAAGGGCTGTTAAATTTTTTTGAACTGTATTGTCACGAAAGAATCAACAGCATTTACTTTTGTTAATGAACATATTTAGATGATAATAGTCCAAAGAAATCAGAAATATAAATTTATTGAAGGGTGAGCCATCTGCTGTTTTCATGTTGTTGGAATTGTCTAAATTATATATGTTTTTATATTTAGGAGAGTAGTATTATAAAAGGTACTGATGAGTAATAAAAATGTTCAGTTTTTCTATAGGTAATGAGATAATACGGAGCATTTTTGGTGATGAAAATTTACAGCTATTATATGACTCGACTCTTTCAGTATGTAATCATGTATTGATACTTACTTTAAAAGAATGTTTAGGGAAGAGAATAATTTATCAGACTGCTCTCTAAGGAGTACAGCTACAAATTACAAATAGTTTACTCTGAGTTGAAAGCTCATTAAAACATTTTTTTTTAAACTCTGGGTCTCTTGAAGATATTTTTAAAGACATACTAGTTATAAAGCCATTTTAATTCATACCAACAGTCAGAAAATTTGAGATGTAGAAACATTTGAATATTGTTTAATCAGTTAATGGCACTTACTTCCTTTGAGAGGAAATGTAGTGTTCTCTACATTACAACATGGTTAGTCAATTTCATATACTTCACAGTAAGTCCAAATTATCTTGGGCATTATCTCTTTTTGTTTTACTTGATCTCATTCTGAGTCTTTTAGGGTTTTTTTTTGCCTCTAAGATGGGAAAGCATTATAATTGTATTCACATATGGCTATGATTTTTCTTAGGAATTTGAGCAGTTTAACATGCGGTTAAATGAAGTTTCTAAGAGAGTTCGGATACCCTTGCCTGTGTCTAATATACTTTGGGAACATTGTATACGCCTGGCTAATAGAACTATTGTGGAAGGGTAAGTTTTCCATGAAAGCATATCGGATTCTTCAGTCATAATATATGAATAACATTATGTCTTATCACCAACAGATGCAGAGAATAGATAAGAGATAGTGATAAATGTCAGACAGTCTCATTATAGTAATTCAGAGACCTTAAATCCCACCGTGTCCCTTTTTTTCTTTCTGATGACTTAGAATCAACTAGTTGAGGAATGAGGAATGTACCAGCTAATGGTTATCTGAAAGTTAGACCATTATTACCAAATATAATTATGCTGATGATTATTATACATCCTGTTCATTGATTACTATTTGTCATTTATTGGACCAAGCCCTTCAAGCCCTTCGCAGGATTCTATCACCAAATCCTAACATAAACTCTTTTTGATAGTACTGTTCTCTGTTTTATCAACAGAAAGATAGCCTTGCCTAAGAAAATCAAGGCTACAGAGGTTAAGTAACTTGTCCAAGTTCACCCAGTCTTTGAAATGCAGAGAAGGCTTAATATCTCCTAATTTTCTCATGGCAAAATCAGTCCTCAAAACCACTATATCACTGCTCAGAGTATCATTATTATATCCTTGTAAACCAGATAAATCTTTCATATGTTGAGTTTACAGATCAAAAGTAATTTTCCCACTTACTCAGAGGTCATGCTTACTCTGTCCATAACATCGGGAACACAAATAAGAATTAGTAATACATTTAAAATATACCTGGGCGCGCGCCCAGCCCCGCTTCGCTCCCCAGCCCGACCGACCCAGCCCTTAGAGCCAATCCTTATCCTGAAGTTACGGATCCGGCTTGCCGACTTCCCTTACCTACATTGTTCCAACATGCCAGAGGCTGTTCACCTTGGAGACCTGCTGCGGATATTTAAAATATACCTGGAAAGCAAGCTTCTATTTCAAAGACCACTCACAGTGATCTAGAATGGCACATCAGTTGAATTTTCACACTGTCATTCATCTGATTTCTCTTCAGTTCTTATTTGTTATAGAAAAGAATGTGTCAGAAAGTGGAAGGTGATGGCGACAAGCTGACAACAGCCTTGGCATTTTGTATTAAAGTCAGCAATGCTATAAATCCCAAGATGTTTCTATATCAGCAGTCATGATTGGATTTTACTGTTAGTAAATTTGTTTAATAGTAGAATAGTGACAAACAAATATTATATATTTCAATATAAATACTTTATTAAAAAATAAAAAAGCTTTATCACTTTAAGTAATATAAAGTAGTCTTCTTGCAGATTTTCCTAGGGAAAGTACCTCATCTCCTCAGATTGAATTCTCCACATTTTGTGTGATGGAAGGAATGAAACACTGACTTAATGAATAATAAAATTGTACTGTTAGGGTTAAGAAGTGTATTCTTATTACTAGTCCACCTTAGAACATGCAGTTTTTTAGTAGTGTGGGGTCTCAGAAACAAGTCTATAAAGGTGTTTTATTATGAGAAATATGTATATCCTTTCTGTGCTTCTGTTTCTTAGGTTTGCTGAGTGTTTATGGGAGTGTTATTTCATTTGTTTTCTTTGCATTGAGTAGTTATATTGAACAGTTCTATGAAGCTAATTGAGAATATTCATAGCTTTATTTTATAAATAATTCTTGGCAGCCAGATTAACTTAAATGTCAGTTTAACTTTCTTATAGATGAGTATGTTAATTGATTTTGCAGAACTCTGGCCTGTAGAACAGCAAAGAACCTTAGAAGTTGCTTGATTTCTTTGCTTTGCAAATGAGAAAACTGAGGCCCAGATAAGTAAAATGATTGCTGAGTGACAGGGCCCAAATACAACACAGTCCTTCTGACTCAACACTTACGTCCTCTTTTTCTTATAGCATCTCAGCAAATGTGGGTTAGAGAAAAGTTTAATAAGTGCCTAAAGGTTTCTTTTCCTAACCATCCCATAACGTGTGTTTTTTTATTATTGTGTATCTTAGATATGCCAACGTCAAGAAGTGTAGTAATGAGGGTCGTGCCTTGATGCAATTGGATTTTCAACAGTTTTTAATGAAACTTGAAAAGCTAACTGATATTAGACCCATTCCGGATAAAGAATTTGTGGAAACCTATATTAAAGCATACTATCTAACTGAGAATGACATGGAACGCTGGATCAAAGAGCACAGGGTAAGAGCTGAGAAGCAGTTAATTAAATTTTTATTCTTTGTCTTTTGTGTTGTTCTTGTGTGGTATGTTAGGTAATTCAAAATCATATGGATGAAACAGAAACTTTTTTTTTTGGTAGCATGAACTACTTAGGCCAGTTCTTCACTATATTCACATTGTGTCTGTGCAACAACACCCTTTGCCTCATCAGATCCTTTTGAGACTTTGTGAACTGTAACAGTAATTATCTGGAAAAACAGAGTCTGAACTTTAGCTGTGTTTGTCCTGCAACTGTGTTGTAGGAAAAGAGCTGAAGTTGGTAAACTTCAGGACAAATACAGGAACATTGAAATGATTCTCAAGCTCAAGTCTATATATAATTTTTAGAAAGCTGGAGTGGATTGCCATTTCCTTCTCCAGAGGATCTTCTGACCTAGGGATTGAACCATGTCTTCTGCATCTCCTGTATTGGCAGGCAGGTTATTTACCGCTACCACCACCCGGGATGGCATCACCAACTCGATGGACATGAATTTGAGCAAGCTCCAGGAGTTGGTGATGGACAGGGAAGCCTGGCGTGCTGCAGAACATGGGCTCTCAAAGAGTCAGGCTTGACAGCAGCTGAACTGAACTGAATTGATGTATAACTTAAAGCTTCTAGCCATCAACAATGATGTTCTAAACACACTGAAGTAGTGTAGTAGTGTTGATTGGATTTGTTGTTTAGTTGCTAAGTCATGTCCGACTCTGTGACCCCATGGACTGTAGCCCACCAGGTGCCTCCATCTGTGGGATTTCTCCAGGCAAGAATACTGGAGTGGGTTGCCATTTCCTTTTCCAGGGGATCTTCCCAATGCAGGGATCGAACCCACGTCTCTTGCATTGACAAGCAGATTCTTTACCATTGAGCCACCAGTGAAGCCTAATGATTGAATATACTAATATTTATTATTTAAATAGCTCAATTTAACTTCATCCTACATTAGATTTTACCTGAAGTATAGATAAAATTGTTTTTCTTTTGTGTGAGTATATAGATATGTAGAGAAAAATACTATATATACTAAGTGTTATTTAAGATTCTGAATTTTTGACACAGTTCAAGTCAACATGTATTACCAGAGAATGCTCAATACGAGGAGCTTTTTGATATGATTGTTATATCATTTGTCTAGTTAGGCAGTATGTGAAGATGGGTTTAATGAAAATATGAGAAGTGTTGAAATCTTCACTGAATCTTATTCCATCAATAACTCTAGCATTCACATGCTATGAACATCATAGGTGAAAGTTATGTAAGTTTTTATTTCATCTGACTGAATAAGGAAGTAAGGAATTATTTGTATTTATCAGGCACATCCTTTCTAGTTTCAGCACTTGAGAAAAAGGAAGTGAGGTTTAGTCAGGACCATTAACCTGAATTTTGTGTTGATGTGCCCACCATAGGGCAGTTTCAGATTTTTGACAGCAAAATAGAAACACACATCTTTTCAGTGATTTTGATCAGTACACCAGAACTGAGAGATGTCAGCACTTTTTGTCTCATTGACCTCTGTCATTTGAGGAACAAGATGCTAGATCAGATGCAGATGAACTGCTGAATGTGGCTAGAATCCATTTCATAACTTAAGCTGTTAACACTTTGGAGTTGGTATTGAGGAAGGGATTTGGGACAAGTATCTGAGGAGAAAAAGCCCAACTCATTGAGATCCATTATTTGATGTAAGAAAGATGCCCAGTGGGCTAACATTTTTTAGATTGTTGTTGTTCAGTCTCTGAGTCGTGTTCAACTCTTTGTGACCCCATGAACTGCAGCACGCTAGGTTTCCCCGTCCTTCACTATTTCCCAGAGTTTGCTCAAAGTCATGTCCATTGAGTCAGTAATGCCTTCCAACCATCTCATCCTCTGTCGTCCCCTTCTCCTCCTACCTTAAATCTTTCCCAGCATCAGAGTCTTTTCCAGTGAGTCGGTCCTTCACATCAGGTGGCCAAAGTATTGGAGCTTCAACTTCAGCATCAGTCCTTCCAATGGGTATTCAGGACTGATTTCCTTTAGGATTGACTGCTTTGATCTCCTTGCAGTCTAAGGGACTCTCAAGAGTCCTCTCCAGAACCACAGTTCGAAAACATCAATTTTTTAGCGCTCAGCCTTCATTATGGTCCAGCTCTCATATCTGTACGTGACTACTGCCAAAGCCATAGCTTTGACCATACGGACTTTTGTCAGCAAAGTGATGTCTTTGCTTTTTAATATGCTGTCTAAGTTTGTCATAGCTTAGTGTTTTGGAAGAGCTTTACTCACTGATATTTGTAATACAGTGAAATTTTCCTTTCAGCAAGATTGCCCTGTTTTCTAGAGCTCTTTCCACAATGCCTGGTGTGGTGCCTAGGTGGTACTTCCTAAATGTTGAGTCATCACTTGAGGGAATTCACCAGGTGTTGACAGGTGCTCTCAGAGATCAGACACACAAACTGAGCAGTTTGCCTAATTATTAAAATGAACTCTTTCCTGTGTTTTGAAGATGTACTATCTTTAATGTCTCCAGTGAAGACATGTTCTTTTCTCATTAGATGATAGAACACAGCTCTTTCCTTTGCTGAACTCTTGGTCTTAATTCTCCAGAACCAAATCAAGATGTAGAACTTTCCAATGAGTCCTGTTCATCATGCTCATCCTGACAACTTATCTGAAATCCAGGAACTAAATCAATTTGTACAGCAAAAAAATACTTAGGTAGTTGACCGTCAGAAAGCATGAATTTAAACTGTACAGGTCCACTTATATACAGTTTTCTTCAATAGTGAATATCTACATTATCCTCAGTTGGTTAAATTCTTTAATATGGAGGAACATTGGATGAGGGGGGCCAGCTATAAATTGTGTGCAAGTTTTCCACTGTGAGGAAAGCACTCCTAATCCCTGAGTTGTTCACAGGTTAGCTGTGGCTTCAATTTTACTTTCTAGCTACTGTTAAGATACAAGGGTTTAAGAACCAATAATTTTCTGATCTTTGTTATTACCTTATTCATTTGTTATGTCTCAGAAGAGTTGTTCTGTGTTTGGAGATTTTTTTTCTTTTATCTAAAATGTGCAAAATGTGCAGTGCTAGAAGCTACTTACTTAGTAGCATTTTATTATATGTATATAAATTCTTGAAATGTCAGGGTATTTTGATAACTTGATGACAAAGACCATTACAGAAAGAGGCATAATGTGTGATCTTAAAAATAATAAGCATTGGCATGTTATGTGCCGTATGAAGGGCTTCCCTGGCTCAGCGGTAAAGAATCTGCCTGACAGTGCAGGAGATGCAGGTTCATTCTGTGGTTTGGGAAGATCCCCTGGAGAAGGAAATGGCGACCCACTCCGGTATTCTTGCCTGGAGAATTCCATGGATAGAGGAGCCTGGTGGGCTATACAGTCCATGGAGTCGCAGAGTCAGGCACAACTAGTGACTGAGCCTGATTACAGCACGTGCCATATTAAAAAGATTCTGGTGGTTCCTGTTTCAAATTCATGCTGTAGATACTCTTATTCCCTTATCACAACTCTGTAACCAGTTTGTTTTCCATGTCTAAGTTATGATTTCCACTGCTTTCCATTGATTTGTAGTGCTCAGTAGTTACCCACTGAGTCCTGATTATCTATCTGCCTGTTCTTTTTCTGCATTGATCTCACACATGTGTATCAGTATACTAAATTTGAATCTTCTTTTTTTGAGCAGGAGTATTCAACAAAGCAGCTGACCAACCTGGTAAATGTTTGCCTGGGATCCCATATCAATAAGAAAGCAAGACAAAAACTTCTCTCAGCTATAGATGATATAGACAGACCCAAAAGATAATGAACAGAGTTCTTTTTCCTCAGTGGCATTGATGGTCTCTCAGCGCGCGTGACATGAAAGCCAGTTTTTCATGCACTGCTGACAGCTGTCCTAAGAAAACTTTGTGCATGCTCTTTCCAGCTGGAAAGTGGAAAACACTGAAGTTTATGTGGTCTTTGCAAATGATTTTTATATGCCGTGATCTCAGCTCTTCAATTTTTGGTCTCATTTGTTGTATTCCTTTCTTGAAATGATATTGCCTCATCATAACTATTGTTACATGACTACAGCTACGCATTTTACTGAAGAATGTACTCTGAGTATATGAGCAGAAGGAACAGTGACAGTACACTCACGGGTGGTTTCGGAGAATGAATTTATGTTGGCATTTTTCTACCCTCAAATTTACTTCTTAATAAGTGTAATACGAGAGGGTTAATGTGTAATGTCTCTTAATTATGAACACTGCATGACAGTTGAAAAGTACATGTAAGCTAAATAGTTGAAAAATCAGTATGCTGTCTGTGTTTTTAAATGTCAATATTTCTGTTAGAGTTGATGACACAGTGATCATAAATGATGAAATTTAATAAATACTCTAACATGATCAAATGAGACTGCGTTTTGGTATTTTTTCACAGCAGACAGATTGCATGAAATTATAATGGAATTCCTTTTTTTTTTCAAACCGTGTTCTAATTTTAATAGTCTTACATCCTGAAATCAGTGTGAGAAGTAATTTCATTGGGTAAACCTCTTCAGCGCCTGAGTGGCCAGCAGAATGGTGATTGTGGGACTTCCTTCTTCCCTCCCTCCCTTTTTTACTTTTTAAATAATGGATTTTTTTTTTTTTTTTTTTACCTGTAAGCTTTGTTCTCTTTGAATTTAACTTTTGTCTTAGAACAGCAAAACCTGGCTTAGGTGATTCAGGGAAAGAATTGCCAGTTAGTCAGGCATAGGTATAGGATCATATGTTCGCCATTCTTAAGTATCTGCTTTGTATCACAGATACAGTGTCAGCGGTGATAAACTTTGGAACTAAGTTAGTTTTGAGTAACTGTGTACTGTTACTCTGAAATCTTATTTGAAGCTAAGGATCTTCTACCATCACATATGACATAAAAATCAATTGCCTGTGCACTCCTGCCAGCTGTCTGCTAAGAAATTTTTTGCATATTCTTTCTGATGGGGGAGTAGAAGAAGCTTTTGGTGTTGGTCCCGGATTACTTGACATGAGCTGTAACATTGCTAGCTCACAGAATCTTGAAGCATCTCCTGAGAAAAGGGCCTTGGGTCCTGTGAGTCTTTGAGAGCTGAAGTAAAGGGCACAGCTTGGCACCTGATCAAGCACAGAGGTGACAAAGAGGTGACTGCCACTCAGCATTCACTGGTCCCCGCAGATACCTGTAATGGCGGGAGATAACACGAAACACTTTGAGAATATGTCTGCGTGAGGGGAGCGAGTGAGGACCTGTGTTACGCATTTTTCGTTTTCCACCTCTCACTTCCCTGTTCATTTGCTGTCGATTAAATATTGACCGTAAATCCTCCCTCTTGTGAAAAGGTACGAACGTGGCACCATTCATGCATTCCACAGTGATCTGCTTGTGGAACTAGACTGTGTGCTTGTACGGTGGACCCTGCAGGTAACCGTTATCTATGTGCAGCCACTGGTGGGAAGCGAACATGAGATAAGCTTAGTCCTTGCATTTAAATGCACGTTCAGCTGGGCAGGGGAAGAGCTAACCAGTCTCATTTATTTCTCAGTTGTTAGGCCCTGCTTACTTCTTCGTTTTCACATAGAGTTTATAGTTGGTTTTCTTTCATTTCTACTTTAGTTCACTCCAGATTGTATGATCTGCAGCTATCTGCCCAGTAGGGCGTTTTCCTGGGTGATAACAGTAGATACAGGAGAATTACTTATCTTGTTGGAGACAGCCATATCAGTTGGAGAGCCCTTTTAGCTCACCTGTACTTTGCTTTCCCCATCTTTAAAATAAAAGTGCTACATCTTTTTGATACTTTTTAAGAAAAGTATTTTATTTGTTTTTTCATTAAAAGGTAGCTTCATAAGTGTAAATGATTTTAAAATAATAACACGATATTTGAATCTTTAAATTACTTTAAAAGAGAGTTACCAGACATTCCTCAAATATACTATTGTAATGATACTGAATTATAACCATATAACATTTTATGAAACATTTTTTTTTCTTGATATTTTAAAAACTTTTTATTTTGCATTGGGGAATAGCTGGTTAACGATGTTGAGACAGTTTCAGGGGAACAGTGAAGGGACTCAGTCATACACATACATGTATCCATTCTCCCTCAAACTCCCCTTCCATCCAATCTTATGAAACTGATTTTAAGATAAATAAAATTGAGAAGCTTGAGGATGTAAATGGAATTATACGTGTTCTAGAAACTTTGTAAAACATTTAGTGTCTAAGTATTCCTTAACTAGCATTTTGTATGAATGTCTGCTGTAGAATTCAAGATTTTAAATTGACATGAGAGCCTGGTAAATCATCCCCTGAGAGAGAATGGTGATTTCTGCAAATACATTGTCTCCCATTAAAAATACCAGGCAGAGACACAGCTGTTCAAGTGAACTAGTTTGCTTCAGTTTATAAAACCTATAGAGATCTTATAAGACCTCTTTGACTAATAATAAGCTCATGTGCTCAACTTACAAAATGAAATCGAATTTTCTTGTAGTCAGGACCATATGGCATTTTATCATATCTTTAAGCAGAATTTCCTTTGAAATTTTCTATTCAGCTGAGTGCTAAAGTGAAACTTAAAGTTTAGATTAAATAGCTTTTTCTTTACCCACTCACTGAAATAAAAAGTCTTGTAATTCAGTTCACTTTGAACACATAGTTATCTTTTCAAATGAAAAAGTATACCTGAAGGTGAAATATAAGTTGTGCTCAGAGCAAAAAGAAGTGGTCCAGGGGAAATAATTTCTATTTTATATTTACTTTTTGGGATAATTTTAATGCAGACTTAGTGGTTAACAAAGTGATATTTAATGCTGGACACAATGGTTAATGACAAGAAAATTATTAATACTCTGGTGTATTCTTTGTAAATGTTAAGACTGGTGCAGCTTTTTACAGATTTTTTATTATTATTATGGAAAATATTTGCTCGATAAGAGGCCGTCAAAAAATTTAATCTGTGCCACTCTCCCAAGGACAAAGCTGTGTCAGACTATACATGAGAATTCGTAACTCATCCAAAATGATGGCAGAAAGTAGTTCACTAGTTCTGATACTTTTCTTGATTGGCATATCCTTTTGTGAATGTTGCTAAGTGTTAACACCTGCATCATTTTTTTTCAGTGTTACCTTACAGCTGGGCTCAGGACAATCTCCACAGCACATCCCCTGGGTTAAGGAATAGGCTCTCTTGGGGACCTTCACAAGCCTGAGACAAAGAAAAAGAGAAGGCTTTGTCCCATACTCCCTTGCCATTGTCGTCAGAGAGGTGAGACAGCATTAGGGGAGGGTTTTTTAATGGCAAGTAGAGCACCTTAGCAGGCTTCCCTGGTGCCTCTGACGGCAAAGCATCTGCCTGCAATGCAGGGAGACCCTGGTTCAATCCCTGGCTTGAGAAGATCCCCTGGAAAAGGGAATGGCTACCCACTCCAGCATTCTTTCCTGGAGAACTCTATGGACAGACGAGTCTGGCAGGCTATAGTCCGTGGGGTCACAGAGAGACATGACTGAGTGACTAACACTCAAGTGTCAGAGCAACTCACCACCGAGTGACCTGGGGTCTGTGGATGTCATCGTTTCTTTGTCTGGGAGGAGAAGGCCATTTTCTTTGGGAAGATGAATTTCAGTACAATGCCTCCTCTATGGTTAGCTCATCACCAAGGCAACCTGAGTGAGCCCCAGGGTGAGCCCAGTGTCTGCCTGGTACTGGCAGGGCTCTGGTGGATTGGACAGATAACAGCTGCTCTCAGGGAGCGTTAAGTCTAGCGGATAAGTCGATGCAAGCCAAACACACTTCATTCTGGGGAGTGCTCCAAAGGAAACTTCCGGAGTAGGCGTCAGGAAAGACTCCACCGAGTAAGAGATGTGCACCTGGAGGCAGGGTGAGGAGCAGTTTGATGAGGAGACGGGGAAGAGCGCACCTGAAGATGAGAAAAGGCCAGGGCGGTCGGTGCACAGAAGGGAGGGAGAAAGTGGGAAACTGAGGAAATGTGGCAGACTCAGGGGCCCCGAGCATCCAAGCAGGAGACGCAAATGCATAAGAGCAGATGTTATTCAATAAGGAGTGAGATGTGGGCAGGGCAGGCTAGGCTATATCTACAGGCATTGGAATTATACTTTTAATCTCAGCATTTAAAGGAACGAATCACCTTCACTGGCCCCATCAGCTAAAGGCAGAAGAGAGTCTTTGTACAGAAGAAAACAACTCAGAGCATCCATCTGTGTGTTTCCTTGTGCATCTTGATAGCAGATAATCTGACTTTGCTCAAAATGACACAACGGATGGCGTGGTCAAATAGATGAGATGTGAGTACTTGGACTCCTCCAACTAGAGTTCCTCCCTAACCTGTCCTGAATGGCTGGGCAGTTTGTTTGGGCAGGACTGTCACAAATTCACTTCTTTACACTCCAGAGTTCCTCATCCTGGATCAGACATAATTGATGCTTGTTTATTGACTTCTTGGTACTGAGAAAAGCATTAATTACTCAGTGATTGTTAAAGAGAAGTGCCCACTGGCACTGGAAGCTGAAATAATAACAGTTTAAAAAGAAGCTAATACTGAACTTCTGTTCCTTAATTTTTTTTTCTTCACACCTGCAGGCTGCCTGAGACGAAGATTGACTTGTTTTAATAGACTGCCCTAGACCAGTGGTTCCCAAAATGTGGTTCCAAGTCAGCAGCCTCAGTATCACCTGAGAACCTGCTTGTGTAGCAGGGACTTTTGGAATCAGAAACTCAGGGTGGGACATCATAGTGTTTTAACGAAACTCTGTTGTTCAGTCGCTCAGCTGTGT